CCCAATTCCTCCCCTTCATTGAAATTCTCCTGTTTACCCCCACATCTCCTTCTTCTAGCCCTCCCTTCCTTCCTTCCTTCCTTCGATTCCATCAACCCAACTGACACCGTTGCTTCTTCACCCATCTGCAGGATTTCCTGTCTTCTCCAATATTTTAGTCTTTCTTCAATAGCAGCAGGACTTACGGCCTCAAGAGGTTTCCAAAAGGGAGTCAGAAAAGGGAAATCTTTTTTGGGGAAATATAAGATCCAAAAGTCCTGGCTTTTTGAATCTTCTCTTCATGGAGCAGCTCGTCAACTTTATCATACGCCCGCCCAGGTATGGATAACGACATTACCTGTGGCGAATTTCGTATCTTTACTCTTGTATTCTCTCAATTGGGTAATTTTTGGGACTTCGCGCTGGATTCTGTTTGGTTCCCAGGGGGGAAAACCTGTGATTCTGATGTAAAAGTAGTGGTTTTGAATCTGGGTTGGAGAGAAAGACTGAAATTTTTGTACTAAATTAGCCTGGAAGATTGGAATTGTGATTTGAATTTAGTTGTGGAAGAGAAGAAGGCAGTGTAAGATTCGAATTGGGTTTGATCTAAAAGTTCACTTTCTGGCCAAACATCAAGTGATCTAGGTTTAGTTCATGTTTTTAGGATTTCGGGAATAGGGGATCCTTTATTGTTCGTAATAGGTTTAGTTGGATTAAGGTAATTTATTTGTTCCCCCTGTGTTGTTGAGCTGATCTCTTGTTGTTGCTCTAGCAATATTGTGGTCTATTATCAGCTAGGATCTTAGTTCCTCAAGACGAAATGGCTCGTCTGTTAATGGGTAGTTTACCTTACTTTCTTCTCAGTTGTTGCAACTATGAATTTCTAGTAGGCTTCCAGTAACTAATGGTTTGAGTACTTAGCCATAATTTCACGGTAGGTAAAACTCATCTAACGAGCATGCTTAAGATTTTCTAAATTGGGAACGAGCATGATTTGAGATTTATCTGGCTGCAGAGCTGAATACAGCCCCAAACATGATTTGTTGGAGCCGGAGTTCATGCTGGGAGGGAAACTATACCAGCGAAAGGATGTTGAGGTGAACCATTGGAAGCTTATCTATTATGAATTGATGAAAAACTTTCATGGTTCTTTCATTTGGTTTTAGTATATATGGTTATTCAACATTGTTTCCTAACTATTATTCAGATTAAGAACAACAGAGGATACATTCTTCAGTGCAGTCATTATGTCCCCATCGTGAGTCCCGAAGAAAAGCCACTGCCCTGCGTAATTTATTGCCATGGAAACAGGTAAATGAGGAATGACACCTTGTTGAATCAACTGCATCTAGTACTACTCGTGTTTACGATAGAGAAGATGACACTGTTGCATTGTGTAATTTATAACAGCTCCTTTCCTTGATGTGTATCAATTGATTGCAAATTCCATTTATGTGAAACATAATCTTTAGACTTATTTTGGAATTCATATCTTCATGGTTCTGTTACTTTGGGCAGTGGGTGCAGGGCTGATGCAAGTGAAGCTGCTATCATACTCTTGCCTTCAAATATCACGGTTTTCACTCTTGATTTCGCTGGATCTGGACTATCTGATGGAGATCATGTTACCCTGGGATGGTATGAAGTAAGTGGCAAGATAATTCGTGCTTTAGGTATCTTATTTTTGTTACATGAGAGGTTACTATACCCTTCTCTTGGTTCTTTGATGGTTTAACATTTTCTCTTACTGTTTTTACCAGAAAGATGACCTGAAGTCAGTTGTTGATTATTTGAGACAAGATGGAAATGTCTCTTTGATTGGGTTATGGGGCCGGTCAATGGGTGCTGTCACCAGGTTCTCCTTCCCCGTTTCTCTCTTCTTATTCTTATCATCAGCATGTGCAGAATTTTCAATTGTTAACACAGAGGCATGATTTTATTTCCTTGCTCAAGTAGTAGGAGATATCCATTTTCCATCCTTCCCTGGCATTGTCCAAGTCCAATATCACAGAGATACTGGACAATTGGTGATATACATAAGTTACTAACAACCTAGTTATCTGCTGCAGCCTAATGTATGGTGCACAAGATCCTTCAATTGCCGGAATGGTGCTGGACAGTCCCTTTTCTGATTTGGTTGATTTGATGATGGAACTCGTGGACACCTATAAATTCCGTTTTCCAAGATTCACTGTAAGCAGTTTTGAACATTGGCTGGTTTGTCATGGTCTGCTAATGGCGTGAGAGAGACTGCATCAGTGATCCAGGTTCAAGTCTCGGTTTTACTGTTTTCTTACACCCAATCTCTCATGTTTCCTTCTCAGGTGAAATTTGCTATCCAGTACATGAGGAAAGCGATCCAGAAGAAAGCAAAGTTTGACATAACGGATCTCAACACTATTAAGGTAACCTTTTCCTTTCTGCCCTTTAGTACATACATTAGTATGTGGTTCTAAATAGACGAGTTTTTTTGTGAGGTCCAACTATTTTGCTTGTATTACTGTACATCATTTTGTTATGCATCTTCATTATAGGTAGCCAAGTCTTGCTTCGTTCCAGCTTTATTTGGGCATGCAATTCAGGATGATTTCATACAGCCTCATCATTCTGATCGGATATATGAAGCGTACATGGTAAGTTTGCTTCTATGGCTAACAAGTTTAAATCATGTCTTTCACGTCTCATATGACTGTAAGTAAACCTACCTGGTAGGTTTCTTCCATGGACTTGGTATGTTTATGCATAAAAATTTTGCAGGGAGACAAGAATATCATCAAATTTGAAGGAGATCACAATTCTCCACGACCACAGTTTTATTTTGATTCGATAAACATATTTTTCCACAATGTGTTGCAACCTCCTGACGATGAGATTGCAGGACCTTATTTTGATACAATGATCAATTACTTTGGTAAGGTAAATTGCACTCCAATCACTACCCTTCTATATGGTTAATTGATTTTACAATTCATTCATATGCTCAACATTCCCAATTTTGGTTTTTTTTTTTTTTGTTCTACCTTCAGCATAGTCGGAAAAGTCACCACGGCGTAAGCCATACCCCAGAGTCTTCGGTTTCACCTAAAGGTATTCACTTTACAATGATGATCCATTATTTCTAAGTTTCTTTCTTTTAGTTTTTGTTTTGTTGGCAGCATCTGACCAGATTTCCTGTTTATGTACTTGTCAGTGGCAGGATCGTCGACAAACAGCAGCACAGAAGATGCTATCAAGCAAGTCCGACTGAGAAGACCTATGAGTCGGATTGAGGTAAAAAAAAAAATTCCAAATCTATTAGCAACTCCGTGAGAACTTTATATACTCAAAGCTATACATCTGATTCAAAAAGTTATGAAATAGAGGTATTAAGCTAAATTCGTTGTGTGAATTAGTAAGTATTCATTAAAAGCATGAATTGTGGTGCAGTCTCTGCATTACATATTCAAGTTTACTTGATGAGCATGGTTTCTATTTGGATTCTTCGTTGTATGATCCTCTTATGTCCTTTCTCTTGATGGTTTACTGAGTTCTTTCGGTCTGGTTAGGTTCCCTCGGATATTCCACCTACAGAAGACAAATCCAAGAATCAGGATGGGGAAACTGACGATAATGATCACGTGCCATCGTCGTCTTCTCAAATGATTAGCTTCAACTTGTCCTCCAATGGCAATCCATATGGCTCACATGTTCCAACAGGGCCAGATGATGATCAGTACGTAGAATACCAACTGGATGACTTGACAGGCGCCCCATCTAATGCGGAGGAGGAAGAAAGGGTGAGTTATATTGCACTCATTTGTACTCTTATATTATGCCAAAATTTTGAAAAGAAGAGCCATGTTAATGCCATCTTGACCTCAACTCATTCTGTATCTACAGATGCTGATGGAAGCAATAATCGCATCATTAAAGGACATGGATGTACCAGCAAGCTCCACAGGTACAGAATCGTCACAAAGTACCGCAGTAACAGCTGCACCAGATGTCCTGACTGGCGATTCAAAGGAGGAGAAGCTACAAGTGGTTTCAAAAGCGGCAGAATCGACTTCCTCTTCTTCATTGAGCAATGGTGAAGCTTCGAGCGCAGAACGCCCATCTTCCATTGAGGAATCAACGAGGACAGCAACCAGACGTGGCGACACCTCATCAACAGGCAGCATTGTGGTGACTGACTTGTCAGGTAAGACAAAGGCGACCCTAACAGTAGAACGGAACCCTACGAACCATAACATTATGGATGGTCTAATGCGTCGTTGGGATTTCAGCCTGTTCAGAAACAACAACCGATGATGAAAGACGAACGGGGAAGACGAACTTATGAGGTTTCTGCTCCCCGGTTTGAAGTTGAAGATTCATTTGTTCTGTAATTAAAGATAGAATCAGGGTGGGTTTTCCAGCAGATTTGTGTAAAGATACTCTTGAGAAAGTGAAAAAAAGAAACAGAAGAAGAGAAAGATAGGTGCTTTTTTTACAATGTTGTCCCATTTTCCCCATTTGATGCTGATCTTGGTTTCTGCTACATCCCTTGATTCCTCTGACGAGAAGGAAGAAGGAAGACATTTGTAATGATTTACTCACTGTGGCCGTGTGGAGCTGTTTGATTGAATTTGTGCTTTGATGATCTTCTCTACTCCTTTTTCCCGTGGATCAGAGTCGAGTTTTTTATATTATTTTTTAACAGTTACAGGCGCCAAAAACAGTTACCTCGGGATCGTATCGGGAAATGGTCAATTGGAGATGCTTTTCTTGACAGGAAACAACTCTGTCAAAGGTTGCAACTTTTAAGTATGAGCTAATGTCTTGTCTTGCACGATCTCATAATTCATGTAGTATGTGATGCTATCCTATATGCCAGTTCGGTATTACTGATAAATCAGACCCGCCTTTTATCCTTGTTTCAAATTGAACTAAATCAATAAAATAAAGTTTTAAAACATTATTGTATAAAACACCAGTATAAGTACATACATTTGTAACTGAGAATTCCTTCAATATCTATTTTTTTCTATATTATCAACACTTCATTGTGCCACAAGCAACTCCATTGCAGTTTCCACCAACGAATGGATGCATAAGCTGTGACGACTCATCCCAACAGTTCCAGAGAAGATATTGAAGCTCTCGACTTCAGAAGTAGTTTCCAACACACATTCCAAATCCTTCTCAAACCCCAACTCTCTAAACCCACCAGCATTTCCTCTGTTTTCCCTCATCATCCAAGTCGCCAATGCTATGCAGAATCTCCTTATTCTGGGAACCTCTGTAGGTGGGTCCTCATACTTTCTTAACATAGTTACGATTACGGTCACCGATTGAAGCCTCGTCATTCCAGCTCTCTGAAACATTAGGGTTGATTCCTGAGGGGTCATGAACTTGAATGCTTCTCCTGCTAGTCCCACCATCACTTCCTGCAGTTTCTTGTCTTATGATGTGATTGCTCTCAACAACCTTCTAAATAAGAAGTGGTAATTTTTTCAACCAAAATTGCTTACCTGATCCACACCTGACATATTGCATTGACCAATGAACTAGAACCCCTGAACTAGAATACAGATAAAAAAAAAAGGAAAACTTCTCCTTTTGTCCAGAAGCTTGAACGAAGGCATAGGTCTAAGTGTTGGAGGACAAAATAGAACACATCACTGGAGCCATTATATCAAAAGGAGAAAGTACGATAAACTTTTTCCACCAGAACCATAACTGGATCAATTGGCGAAAGCATCTATTCATCACTGCCAAATATTTCAGATTCTCCTTTTCCCTTCCAATTCCACACAAATGGAATTTGCACACGTGCAGCCATAAGTTAGGAGACAAGGAACCATGCACACAAAAAGGATCAAGTTCTCAGCATCAACCAGACAATCAACAACACAAAAAAAGACAGACCTTTTGTTTGTTTGTTTGTCGCAGCTAAATTGCAGCACACTTCCGCCGAACTCTCGCCTTCTCAGCATCGATAATCGACTCGACCAACTTCACCGCCTCATCGAGCTTCCCCTCGGCATTCACAACAACATAATCGAAACTCTTCACATGCCTCACTTCCTCTCTAGCAGTAGCAATCCTCACAAGCAAATCCTCTTTACTCTCCGTCTTCCTACCAATCAACCTCTCCACTAACTTCGTCTCACTCTCTGCCACCAAGAATATAAACACAGCAGAGTCTTTCAATTTCTTCCTCAACGTGTGAGCTCCCTGAATATCGACCCTCAACACAATATCGCACCCTCTACCCATAAACTCCCTAATCTGCGATTTGGGGATCCCTTTGTAATCACCATAGACAAGCGCATACTCCAAGAGCTCATTCCTCTCCTTCATATCCAAAAACTCTTCCTTGGATACAAAGTGATAGTCCTTGCCGTGAACCTCCCCGGGCCTCATCGGCCTGCTGGTAGCAGTGACCACCAAGTGCAAATTCTCCCCCCTCGAGTCCCTCAACTTTCCGATCACCGCATCTTTCCCGACGCCGCTCGGCCCGCTGATCACGATGATGAGAGGGTTTGGCGGCGGGGCAATTGGGTCGCCGGAGAACGAAGAACCTAGAGCGGACTCCAGGGCGCGGAATAGCTCCGGCTTGGTGGCCTTCTCGATGACTGGGATTGTGGGTTTTGGGTTCCAGGTTTCGCCCATCTTGGGAGTGGGAGAAAAGCAGCGAACTTGGGTGGAACTGGAGGAGAAAGGTTTTGATTTCCGGCGGACTGGGGGGCGGCGAGGGATGGCGGAGGGTTGGCGGTGGAGGAAAAGCGGGGAGGAAAGAGTGGGGGCGCGGGAGAAGGAGAAGGAAACGGAAAGTCCGCGAAACATGAGGGAGACAGATGGCAAGATTTGAGCTTTTTTGGTGAATTGATGGAGGACAAACCGGAGGAGGAGATGGGTATCTTTCTAGGGTTTAAGACCAGTCGTGAGGTTTCATGCTCTGCCTTTGGAGTTTGGCAAGGTTGTCAAACCGGTTTATGTCAGTGTGCCGGTTTAGCAAGTGGAATGGTTCAACCGGTGGCACATACCGGTTTGTGCCGGTTCATGCCGGTCAATATTACAAATAAAATTATAAATACTCATATTTAAACATGACATTTAACGTCAATACCTAAACATTTATACTTGAATCCAACAAATAACATCAATATTTAACTTTTATACTCATAAAATAAATAATAAAATAATTTTTATCAATTAAATTCTCTAAAATAAGGTCATTTTACTTAGAGATTCGTATATCGATCATGCCGGTTATACCGGTGGTGTCACGCCGGTTTTATGACCGGTACCGGTTGAACCCGGTACAACCGGTGGCACGCCGGCCGGCGTGAACTGAATTAATTTTTTTTCTGGTTGATAAATTGGATTGAATTAATCGATTAAACAAAGCTTGCATAAACGAATTACTATAACCAACTGGCCCATAAATGGCAGCTAAATGGCTGGTAACGAAAATTTTGAGATTGTAGAGAAAATAGGTTATGTGCTTAAAAAGAAGTCGTGTGTATGAAATTCTAGGTGCAATGTTGGCCGTTTGAATTTGATTTAATCGGCTCTAGTTATAATTAGCATGATGGACGTCGTTTTTGTATATTTAATTAATAAAAAATATATTTATTTATTGAGTTTAAAAGTTGAATGTTAATGTACTGTTTGATTAAAGTATAAATGTTTAGGTGTTGACGTTAAATGTTGTATTTAAATATTAGTTATTGTTATTTTATTTGGAATGGCCAATTTTATTTAAACATGAATATAGATTGTAAGTAAATTGTCTTCAAATATATTTTGTATATGATTAAATTTATTTTATGTTAAAGATTTTCATATGTCTACATATTTTGTTAATCTGAAATGAACCGGTACAAACCAGTTGTATCACCAGTCGAACAAAACCACTTGCAAATTTCTCATTGGTTGAATGAATGGAGGCCTTGGTTGATAATTTCTCGTCGGTCATTGGAAACCGGGGGGTCTTGGATTGCTCGGGGAAGCCCAAGCGAAGTTTGGATGGTTTCGCCATCCTGGGTTGTAAGTGTTGTTTTTGGGATTGTTGTTCCCCATAGCATTGGCGACGAAACTCACTTTCTCCTCGTGGGTGCTTGCTTCCTTCATCAATTAGCACTCTGAAATCTCATAGTTGGTACTCGAACACCAATCACATGTCAGAGACGGCTTCTTCCCTTGCTTCTTATCTTCAAGAAGTGCATTGATCAATTTATCAATCTTTGCGGCGAGCGGAGGTCTTGCCTCCGTGCAGTGTACTCCTCTCTTGACATCCCTTCCACCACGTCTCGTCAAGCCTCAATCATACCCCTTTGTCGCCGTATCTTCAAGCAAAGCGGTCATCTCGGGTGGAGTTTTGTTAATCAACTTCCCTTGGCATAGAGAGTCAATGAGAATCTTGTCTTCTTGGAGGAGACCGCCGTAGAAGGTCTCGATCCAAAACCGTTCTCCAAATCCGTGATGTGGGCATTGGAGGAAAAAATCGGAGTACCTCTCCCATGCGTCCCTCAATGACTCATCCTCCTCTTGAGCGAAATGGGTGATCTTCTTGCGCCACTCTGCAGTCATGGAAGGTGGACAATATCGAGCCATTAACTTATTGAGCAAGTCGTCCCATGAGGTAATTGAGAGAGGTGGTCTATTGTTGAGCCACTTGAGCGCATTCCATGCAAAAGAGAGTAGGAAAAAAGCCTCAACTTCAAAGCCTCTTCGGGCACCCCATTGATCTTCGAACTTCCCGCAATCTCGACGAACCTCTGGATATGCTCCCTCGGAGACTCGTCCTTTAGCCCATAGAATTGCACATTGTTTTGGATCATTGTGACGAGGTCGGGTTTGATCTCGAAATAGTTGGCGGCCACGGGTCGATGCAAAATGGCTGGTTGGATATCCGACACCCGTGGAGCCATATAGTATCCCATGGTCCTCGGTTCCTTAGCTCCCTCTTGAGCATTTTGATTATCCGCCATCTCGGCTTCACTTTCTTCCTCTTCCTCCGATTCAAACTCTTCCTCAACTAAAAATTCTTCAACTTCGGGACAACTTATGGTTGTCCCCTCTCCTGAATGCTTCTCCTCGCTTCTGTCATCTCCCTATCACTAGCCAAGAGTCGGAGAGTGCGATTGAGATTCTACTCTAGTGGTGCTAAAGGTGTTGGATTACTCCGGGTCATACACCCTCCTGCACACACTTCAAAGAAACACAACTCGTCTAACACAAGCAAGATTCACACTCACAAAACAAAAAGTAAACACTAGATTAACACCAAACAATCTTTTCAAAATAATGAACCGAAGTTCCCCGACAACGACGCCAAAAACTTGACTCGTCCTGAATATCACAATAAAAATCCCGATTAAGGCCCAAGTATAAACCTTAACCGGGTGCAATATAGGGCAAGTATGTTTTAAAAGTCAAACTCGGGCTGGTCCATGTCCCCCTACTTCAATTGTTTGAAACATTATCTAGCAAATGGTTTTTGGTTAAAACTATGGTTTATAGCTAAAGCGATTGGAAAAGTAAATGGTTTGAACACTAATTGAGAAGGCTTCACCCTGGTGTTGCTCCCCTTGGCTAGTAATCATGACTTGTTGGATCGAATACAAATGTGTGGTAAAGACGGTTGTAAACCATAGGGAAGCACAACAAGTGAACAAGTGTCACTCTCTCGGTCACTACACTAAGGGATTTCGAATCAAGCTACTAAGGTAACTCTCTTGGTGAATTGACTAAGGTTGCTAAGGCTTCTCCCTCGAACCGTAGTCCGGACGGCCAAAACACAACCTACCCATGGTGGTAATCCGTATTAAGAGATTTGCCATAATTCAACCTAAGTAGGTGACACAATTTGGCCAATGAATTCAAGCTTTTACAAGCCTCTTAGCAAGAAGGGGATTTCCCTCTACCTATGTCAAAATGGCATAAGAGTTGGAAATGCAAAAACACGACACAACCTTCATGAAAATACCTCATATTTGTATTAAAACACAACCACACACAAATCATTCAATCCATACAAACATTCACATTATTATATCTAGGGTTTACAAACACCCAAGTGAAAGAAAGTACTACTCCATGCTAAGTTGAGGGAATACACAAAGAAGAAGAGAGAAAACCATCTTGATGATGTTTTCCTTCTTCCTTGTGGTGTGGAGATCAACCTTGGAGGAAGAAATTCTCAAAACTTTGATCTTAAATGAAACCCTAACTTCTCCTCTTCTCTTGTTCATCACTTTCTCACTCTAGAAATCTGAAGAAGAATAAGTCTCTCTCGCTAAGTTCTCTCCCCTTTTTCTCTTTCAGCTCAACCCTCCGTATATACCCAGATCGACGCATTTCACGATCCCAGTTCGCGATCGTGAACATCGGGCTTGGACAGTGATGTCAAGCAAAAGCGTGATGTTTCACT